TTAGAAATGAGGATGCTGGGACTTCATCCCACATATTTTGGAAATGTTATCCTGAGAGACAGTCCCTGAAAAAGGGTATCATCATTAGTAAGTAGGGGTCAGTGAACAAAAGTAAAACCCTTGACAAGACGGATTGACACTTTCCGCAATAATAGGCTCAACCATCACATTAATTATTACAATAATTATATGTTGTTCATAGGGTCACTATGACTTTTAACTGACTTGATGTCACCTAGCAACACACATGCATGCCCACACACATATGTATGTCTATGCACACACACACACAAACCCTGGTGGTGTAGTGGGTTACCCACGGGGCTTCGTCAAGGTCAGCAGTTTGAAATCACCAGCTGCTCTGAGGGAGAAAGATGAAGCTTTCTGCCCCATAAAGATTGGTAGACTTAGAAACCTGATACAGGGTTATTATGAGTTAGAATCGACTCAGTGGCAGTGGGGATGGATTCTGGTAGGCTCCTTACAATAGTTTAAACTTCTCTACGAGGGCAGACATTTTCATCTTGTTTGCTTATAAATAAGCTGTCCAGATGGTGAAGATCACATGGTAAATACTTCATATAGTAAATGCCTAACATGTATTTTAATTTACTGAGTCATTGCTATAAAAATAGAAAGCCTCCTGGTAGCACAGTGGTTAAATGCTTGCCTGCTAAATGAAACGTCAGAAGTTCAAATCTGGCACTCTACTCTGCAGAGAAAGACACTACTCCTGGGGCAAGGAAAGGTATGACTGTCTGCTTCTGTAGACATAAAGCCTGTGTGACCCATCAGCAATTCTCTTCTGTCCTGGAGGGTCCACCGAGTCAATCTACTCAACAGCAGTGGGTTTGGTTTGGGGGAAGAACAGAAAGAAGGTACACTGAAAGTCCTACTAGTGACTTCCACATCGCTCACTAACTCACTGCCCTCGAGTCGATGCCAGTTCAGAGTAGCTCTACGGGACAGGGTAGAACGGCCGCTGTGGTTTTCCAAGGCTGTAACTCTCGATGGGAATTGAAAGCTTCCTCTTTCTCCTGTGGAGCAGCTGGTGGTTTCGAAATGCTGACCTTGTGTTTGACAGCCCAACAAATAACCCACAATGTCACCAGGGCTCCTGGCTTTGGACATACCAAAATTAGGGAGGTCTCCATTTCAACCCAAATGAAAGTGTAGCTAAGTTCTGGGGAACAAGGGCGCATTCCCTAGGACCGTGGTTCTCAACCTTCCTAACGCTGCAACCCTTTAATACAGTTCCTCATGTTGTGGTGACCCCCAACCATAAAATTATTTTCGTTCCTACATCATAACTGGAATTTTGTTTCTGTTATGAATCGTAATGTAAATACCTGATATGCAGGATGTATTTTCATTGTTACAAATTGAACATGATTAAATATAAAGCCTAGTGATTAATCACAAAACAATATGTAAATATATATTGTGAAATATTAATGTGTTTTCCGATAGTCTAGGCGACCCCTGTGGAAGGAGTCGCGACCCATGGGTTGAGAACCGCTGACCTAGGAGAAGTTGGAGGGAAAGAAGATGCGAGGTCTAAGAACCAACTTGCCAAAGTAGGGACGGAAAGCCCAAATGACGGCAGCAAAGAGAAAGTAAAGCATGATGGGATCTGTGATGCGATTGCAGGTGCAGGCTAAGCCATACCACACGGATGTGGAAGCCTACCACACTCAAGACCAAATTCGCTGTCATGGAGACAGTGCTGATGCAGAGTCTGGAGGGGAGGGTAGACCTGGCCCTCAAGAGTGCAAAGCTGTAACTCTTAACAGGAGAAGGTCCCTCTTTCTTTCTCCCTTGACCTTGCAGTTAGCAGCCCAACGTGCAACCAAGTCACTAGAGAGAGCACTCTATTGCAGGCTACACCAAAGGTTTTATTTGAAAGCAAAGGGAAACCATTGATAATAAGCACAGAACTACGTGAACCATATGATGTGTGTGCTTGTCTCTGGAGCATGTCTGTGCATTGAAGACAGGCAAGGATGAATGGAGGGAGAATTGCTTGACAGCTACCAAAATAGTAGGCTGAGTAGACTGTGCTCCTACTCGGGTCTTTAAAGCCAGTCCCTTTTTCTCTCAGGCCATTCACTAACTTCCCCTCCGATTTTGTATTTGAAGAGGAGTCAAGCCCAGCCCTGTCCTCTCACATGAGAAAAATTGGAAAGAGCTTCCCTCTACTCTCCCCTGGCAATCTTCTCATGATTAGCTGCTCCTTGCACAGTGATGCCCCCACTGCACTTATTTATTGACAACTTTATTTCCACCACTGGGTTGTATTCCATGAAAAGCATGTCAGTAACAAGTCTTATTTATCTTGGTATCTCTTAGCAGGAACATTGATGCTTCAACGTTCAACACTATCTGCTGAATAAATGAAAATAAGTCAAGAGATTGCTGGTTTACCAGCACAACACAACAAAATAGGCACACATTCTTCTCACTGTTGCCTGTCAGTATCATGAATTCTTTTAAGGAAAAGGCTTTTTCTATATTGTCACAATATGTAAGCTAAGAATTATCCAGCTGTGGTTGGATGTGCATCCGAAATTCAAACACGTGCACATATCGATAGCGTTTAGGAGTGTACAAGAATGGCAAACTTCCCAAACGATGTGAAGATGGATATTACAATTGGAGTTGCAGATTATATGCGGAATTTTCAACAGAGTTCCTTCAATGATTGAGAGTGAAACAAAGTAACTTAAAGTAGTATCTCACTAAAGAGCACCTCAAATCTTCTGATTCCTAGAGATAGGATGAGCATTTTAAAATGCTATATCATCAAGTTAATTTACAACTGTAAATTGGTGACAGAATTCTTCCCACTAAAGATGCTTAAAGCCACACTGATCTAAGTTAATAGGGAACATGACTAAACTTGAGTAAGCATTCACACACACACACTTTTATATTTATATCATTGAATATATATATATATTCAAAGTTCATGAAAAAATATATCATTGAATATATATATATATTCAAAGTTCATGAAAAAAATCCATTATCTTTTAATTCAAAGTTTCCATGAACTTTTAAAAGTCCTATGTGTGTGTATACAATACTTCAATAATAATGTTATATATAAGGCAATTTACAGAGTTCAGAAAAGTTTTTAAAAGATGTATGTCCAAGAATTTTCACCTATAAAGACCTCATGCTATTAGCAAAGGTTAAACAATTCCATTTAGCTGTTCTTCCCACTAACATCGTGCAACTGAGCAGTTTTCCTAAATTCATAGAAATTTAAATAGGAGAATGCATTTCAGTAAAGTGGTAAACAAAAGATCATAATTCAAACCAGGCAACTAGATTCTCCTCTACTGCTGATTTAAGTTGTGGAAGTCAGTTTAATATTACATGTGCTTTACACTTCATTGACACATAAGAGGAGCTTGTGAAAGTACTGTTCTTGGAAAGAGATCTGTATATTCCCTTTAATTTGTGCAATTACCACACCTGGTAACTGGATTGATTTTTATGATAGTAATGTACTGAAAGCAAAACAGAGACTTGACTAAAATGACATTCTGTTTGGCACATCGTTGTGAATAAAAACATGGAAAATATGAACTATTGACTTAAAATTGGCCAAAAATTGGGATTTTTAAGGAATACAAAGATAGATCTTAAGCTAAAGTATTAGAAAATTTAAAATGTCTAAGTATGCCAAAAATTTAAGTGCTTTTTTGCAGTGTATACAAATATAACCTTGAATTTTACATGGCTTTCACAAATAACATTTTGTCTACAAAGAGTCATGAATGTTTAGAAAAAGGAAAAGCACAATAATTCTGCATAAAACTCATATTAAAATTTTTACCAATACGCACACTAAAAGAAGCATATGCTTTTGGAGAAACCATACAAAATTATTATCTTGTTCAATGTTTAAATAAGCTATAACCACCACCACTACCCCCAATGCGGGGGTTCTTTAAATTATATTGAAGATTTACCTTTGTATTACATAAAAGCCTTCGAGTATTTGTATCCTTGTAGATTTTAAGTGAGGAAAATATTACCTCTGAAAATCTAGTTTTATACTTTCACCATATTGCTGCTGTTGGCTTGCATCAGGATGTAACAAAGTGACATAGCGACTTACCTGAAAAGTTGCTGAGTATCCAGGAATTCTCTGATTCAAACTACCTAGTTCTTCTTTCTCACCCTAATAATCCAAGTCTGTTGGCATGACCAAAATATTTTGTGTGTTATTATGCTAATGGAACACATCTAAAATGTATAAAACATACAGAGATCTCCTAATGTGGTATTACATTCTATAGACATGAATATTTCAATTCTTTGAAGGTTCACGATTTCCAAGGCATAAAATTGTGCTCTATGTTTCTTGAAATTCACGAGGCATCAAATATATGAGACCTTTGTACTGAATAACTTTGAAAGTAAGTGTCAAGCACATCCACCGGCAAGAAGTAGTAAGCAGCATTTGTGGACCACAGTAGTCCAGAATTAAAATGGAGAACACATAAAGTTTTAATCTCAGCGTCTTTCTGGGACTAGCTGAAGATAAAATTCCAGTGTTACACTTCTTCCCGCACATTAATTAGTTCAAGTGCCATTCCCAGGACTTGTCATTGATGGCACAAGAAACGCATGTGCTGTTTTCTGCTGGCACAGTTATGATGGAGGAGAAGGAGAGAAGTTTGGCTGGGTTTTTTTCTTTCTCAATGGGACATTTTAAAGCTTTCAACAAAGTACAAAGAATCAAATTCTTCACTTTTCTGTCTTTACACTTATGAGAAAGATTTTTGGAGTTGAAAACCAAAATCAAACATTATTGGTATATTCTCTGAAAAATGTATATGCAGCATCCTTTTCATGAGTATAAGGGCCAGTGTAGTATTAAAACCTTTTCTTTAAAAAAAAAAAATCATAAACAAAATTAGATCATGAGTCTATTAAAGATCATTACTTAAAATACCACAAATAAAATCTGTCCATGGAAAAGTAGATAGTTTGAATACTAAAGTTCTTTATTCAACAACACAGAAATTTCACAAAAAACAACTTTACTGGGCAAATTGAATGGTTTTTTTTTGCTTTTGTTTTTTTACAGTTTTGTACATGCCCCATAAGTGATTTTCTTTAATAAATACACTGTTTTCCAAAACCGTTTTTAAATAAATGCACAAGCATACATACACCTTACACAAATATCTATTAGAAAATGTAATAGATAACTGCACAGTTCAGAAACAGGAGAACACTGTGAGAGGAGTACATGTTGGGTGGGGCCCACGTTCCTGAATATTCCTGACTCCCTGGCAAGTGAGAAAACTGGAATTTTTCCTAAGATCATAGCTGTCTGTTTATTCATCAGGAATACAGATCTCTGTGTGAAACTGCTGCATTTATTAAAAGCAAAATCTGAAATATTTAGCTATGACATGAAAACCCATGGTTGGATATCACTATGAATCTAACCATGATCAAGGACCCACTACGTTTTTTGTTTTTTTGTGTGGAATACATTTGACCCTGAAGAGCGTGTTCATTTAGCGGCTTTGTCCTTTTCATTATTTGATTACAGATACCATCAGTGTAAAGTTCATATGCTTTACTGTTAATTGTACAATTTATATACCACGGTTTTTCTTTTGGGAATTGCTTAGTATTAATTTATAGTCAGCCCAGCAGTCTCTTGCTTCCTATGTGTTTGGGAGGAAGTTGGGTGTTAGTAATTGAGCAATCCGGAGGAATGAGTATCTACTCTTACAACGGGGGAAGCCTGTCATTACTTTCATTCCCAAAGATGGACACATTTCTGCTTTGTCAATGTGCTTCAGCAGATACCGAGCGAGGTAGAATCCACTAGAAAGCCACTTGCATCTGGAGACTGGGCAGAAAGGGCGGTGGGGCAATGTTCTTGCATGAAGTGGCCACCAAAAAGGAAACTGGCCCTCTGCCCCAATAAATACTCCACGTACCAATGTCTGAAGTATCTTTTATGCTCTTTCTAAATGCCGACAGGTGGTGGCATCTCCTCTCCCATACTCAGCGTAGACTGTGTGTGCACCTCTCTGGGAAAGTTTTGTTCTCCCCGCCCCCTCAGTTTACGTGTTATACAATTTTCAAAAATTAGATGAAGAGTAGTACACACAAGTTTTATTTTAATCGCTATCTTCTAGGTATTGAATCTGAAACAGTAATTTTTAAAAGTTCCGTTTCATTAGCATTTTAGAATCTCATGATATATAAACTTTCAAATCTCTTCTTTAGAATCATGACAAATATTGCAAATTCTTAGCATATGGACATATAGAGAAGAAAACTAGAGGGAGGCTGGAAGAGTAATATTTTTCTTCAAACATCACCAATTAGAACTTGACATGTACCTGCAATATATAAATAGCTTGGTCAAAAACATAAAAATAACAAGTACTGTAAAAGAACAGCATCATGGGGAAAAAGACATGTACGAGAATGAAAGAAAGGCTCCATTTCAATTTCAATAACCAACACTTTTCTTGTGTTAAAAATAAAATTGACATGTAAAACACCACATTTTAGAATATACAGAGTCACTCATTCTTTAAGAAAACAAATGAAAAATGAAAGCACATCAAGACACGCAACAGTAGCATGTGTTGTAGACTCGGTACATTGCTATGAAATCTGTAAATGTTATATTATGCCTAAGATAGCCTGAATAAACACTTGCTTCACTTTTGTCAGAATAATTATCATTTTCCAAAAAGCAAGGCAGGCTTTCCATTTGAGTGTAAACATATTTTTTCACTTACTTGTAATTAATTAACAAATTGTTATTAAAAAGCAAAAGACAGCAACAGAAGATTGAAACAAGGAAGAACTTACATGGATCTCATTGGTCTCACACCAGAAATAGAAGTCCTAACTAGAACGCTTCAAAGGAACATATATCAAGTAAAAAGCTATGTCAGAATTAATATACATCACATTTTAGTTTGTGGTTATTTAATTTTCTTCTCAAAACATAGGTAGGTGTAACACATAAAGGCTTTTCCTCCAAAAAGCTACTTATTTGATCCTCACTGTAGATCTTCCATCCTGACTCTGGGAAAATTAAGTCACATTGCTTTTTCACATTGGATTTATAAGTGCTTTACCCATTCTCACCCACAATACTCTAATGGAGTGCTCCTTCATTTTCTAAATCTTCCCCACTGTTTATTTCCCATTCAAAACTAAGATTGGCTGCTTTAAAATATTCATCTTCTAGTCTGTCTAAAACTTCTGTTTTCTTCCTTGCTCTCTTATCCTTTCGCGTAAAATTATTCCTCTTTGTACGCTTCATTTCACTAACAGTTTTTTACCCCCACATGGGCTAATGGATGTCTGTAGGTTAAAATACCTACTAGCTGATGAGAAACACTAAGTGGTGGTGGCCTGTCACTGTGGTCCTCTGTATTTTTGCTGAAATCTGCTTCACTTCTGGAATGAGAAAATAGTCTTTATTGTCTTGCAGGAAATGAAATAAAATGCTCAGGTCTCATGTCATCACCAGCAATATTTGTCTTAATGAGATAGTCTTATGAACCCTGACTGCTACAAGAAAATAAAATCGTATATGAAAAGATAGCAAGGCCCTATGAGGCACTGATCTCTTGTGTTTGTGGAATTCCAGCATCTATGGTCCTGCCTCGGCAGAAATGAAAGTCTCTGGTGACAAGAGTGGAAACAATGGAGCACTCCATTTAGGGGGCAGGTGGAAGGACACTGGCTCAATTGGGAAGCAAAGAAACGGAAAGATGATTAAAAGCCTCATGTCTATGCATGTCTCTAATTTGTTATAACTGAAAAACACACCTAACTATGCTTCAACGTAGGATGCCTTGGTATATTAAAATTTTAAACAAAACTAGCAATCTAATATAGTACATGAAATTAAAACATTTAGGTATGTTACGCTTTAATTTTTAGCAGAAAAAAGAAAAAATAACATATAGAGCCCACACTGAACTATAAAACAAAAAAAGGGTCATGGATTCCCCCCACCCCCACCTAAAAATCTTATATTTTCTTTATTTTGTATCCTAGAAAATACTGGGAATTTTTGTTGGTTGGTATTTAATTTACAAAACCGATTCTGCATGTTCCAACTACTCTTGAGTACTCCGCCTTACAGTGCAATCCAAGACAAGTCAACTACACTAAGTATTTGGGAGGTACACCCTTCTGTACAGCTCATTTGTAAGCAATGCAAGTGCATAACCACTACTCTAATATAGTGCTCAAAAGATTCATTTAAACTTTCATAACATCTTCCCCTTTTATAACAATACAACTGAAGGTCATTGCTGGATGCATCATACATACTCTTAATTTTGTAGAAGTTGGCATCAAGTCTCTATGGAAAGATGCATGGCAAAACAGTACCACTGTATTTGCTGCTTCTAGAAACAACTGGCAAAAATATTTAAAGCTAAAATTTATTGCTCCAGATTTAACTCGCAGAACCATACTGTTGTGTACAAACTGTTAATCTCCATAGATGCTCAGACATGATTGTCTCCTTGTGTCTAAACACACAAAATACAAGCTGCTATCTGTACAGTTTACAGTACTGAAACACATATATTTGAAAATGAAGTATAGATATGTACTTTGCAAAGATACATGATTTTACAGCAGGGGTTTACCCAAACTTGTTTTTTACAGCCACTTTCAAAATAGACAACAACTTCACTAGTATATCTACATTACATCAAAGAATCAGTGTACTGAAAGTTAAGAGAATGGCCAATTCCCAGGAATCCAAGATTACTTCTAATGTGTCTTTTTTTCTTAACTTTTTTTTTGTTGAAGAAACCCCTATACATAAAACGAAAATAATATCTGGATATTTTCTTCAGTGGTGGACTAAGCAGTTTCTTAAAACAAGACATTAGTTTGCCCTTCGCTTCCAAATGCCTTGAAAATAAGATAGGCTACTGCTTTAAAAGAACCATCGGAAAGCTTCAGCGCTGGGAACAGGTGTTCTCTATAAAAAAAGAGCAAGAAAACAAGTTAAGCTTTCTTTCTTTGCCAATATCAAATCTTTTCTCCTTTACACTTCATCAACATCCGTAATGATGTATATTGATGATCATCAATATACGTAATACTTAATATGCATAATCAGTATACATGACTTATACATTTCAGCATTTACTAAAAAATGTTCAATCTTTCAACATAACAAAAATTCGAATATTGACTGTAATGTTAACTTATTGAGTATAAATTATTCCTAAAAATTGGTCAAAAAAAATCTAGGAAACAGCCTAGATATCAGAGTAAAAAGGAAGGTTACTATATACCGGTACATAGCCTTCACTATGAGTAAGAGATAGAAGAATCATAGACAATAAAAATAACTATATTTGAATTACCCTGTCTCTAACCAAAGGGTCCCGAGTGGCAGTATTGAGTTATGCATTGGGCTGCTAACCACTGTTCAAATCCACCAGACTTGATGGTGGTGGGTCCCTATCCATGTTGCTATTCCCGTTCATGACTACCCCACGCAGCCCACATTTATATGGAACAGAACTACACCATCGGGATTGCAAGACTGTCATCTTCTGGACACTGATCGCCAAACCTGCCCTCTGAAATGCCTGAGGGTAGGCTCTAACTTCTAATCCTTGCACTAATATTTGAGCCCTTAACAATTTGAGCCACCCAGAGATGTCTCTAAACATACTAAAAAAAAATTTAGCTAAAATGTTGATTACTGTTTTCCCGGTTCAAATTCAGAATAGACACACATGCAACCAAAAGCTGGTGATCAGAACTTAGTGAAGTAATTTCTTTATTCTTGAGGGTTTCTTTCATAACAGGACAACAGCTAGTATTGGATCAACTGAAATGCTATCACTTATCAATTACCAAATACTAAACATACTTCTTTATATAACATAATGAGAATTATACTGACAAACTACATCATTATTATAGAATAAGCCTTCATTTTCAACTCAGTAATGTCATAAATATTAAACAGGGTAATACTAACCAACCATATTCAATAAAACATAACTATACTTTCATACCATAGAAATAACCTTAATGGTTTCCAACGGAATAAAAGGTAGCACCAACAAACAATATGGATAATACTTTTAACAAGACATTTATAGTTACTATGGGCTTTTGGTTAATAAACAGAAGTTAAATTATTGGATCTTCCTCTGCATACTCATATCTAGTAATTCACATGCTATATCCCTCTTTAAAAAATGCCTCAGCCTATTCTGTTACATGAATTCCCATGGTTTACTTACAACAGAATTGCATGAATATATAATGAATGCATATTTTTAAAAAGTGGGCTTAAAGCGTAGTTCCCTATAAAGGCAAATGGAGACACTTGATCTATTTCCTAGGCCAGTCAACAAGCTCACATAGAACTTAGCATGGCTAAAAAGTATACATATCTGCATGTCATTTTTTCCTAAATTCATATCTAATAATGAATTTTTATATTTCAAACATACATGAAACATTGTTCTCTAAGAATTCTAAGAACTGAGGTTATCTTTTATTTATAGTCTCACATATGAGGTATTTGGCTTCCATAGACCTACTGCAGGATCATAGTAAAAATGAAAATGTATTAATTGATTAATATGTAAATTAGATATCAATTTTGGAGATCAAAGATTCCTTTCAATATGTACATGGACTATTATTTATATACGATTCTCATAACCAAAATTACAAATAAAATTAATTTAAAAATAAAATGTTCTAAGACAAGCTCATCATATGCTAAACAGTCTTGAATAACACTCTCAGGTAAGCCTTGGCCTATCCCTAAATTCAACAGTTCAAGCCTACCACACTAAGTGGGAGAAGGACGAGGCTTTCTGCTCCCATAAAGATTTTCAGCCTCACAAACACCATAGACTCTATGACACGAGGGTCACTATGAGTAGGAATTGGCTTGAGGCAGTGGATTTAGGTTTTTAACATTTTAGTTTTGACTTAACCTATGCTATAATTCATCTAAGCCAAACTCTCCTATGTATATATAAAAATATTTAATCTGTGGAATATTTTTTAGAAAGAAAAAGATTTACTTGTCCTTTCAAAATAGTAGCAATCATTACTATTTTACTCCCTGCTCCTCATAGCTCAGTGTTATAGTCTCCTCTCCAACTCATTACCCAGGCCTGGGTCCCAATCACTTGATGTAGTTGGTGAGAAAAACTGCTTTACTCGATCCTAAAATTAACTTTTGAATGATCACCTTAATATTTACATATCCTGATTATATTTATTTAGCCATTATTACATGAGCTACATGAAAAAGTAAAAAAATAATAATAACAACACTTTTGTTTCAATAGCCACAATTTACATACACACACATACACAGTAAATGAAAACTTAGAAATTTATACCAGATGCTAACTTGCAGCTTGTTGTCAACTAAGAATAAATTTTATATAAGTATGCCTACTTATATAAATGTAATCATTTCTTAACAAGATAAGTTAGATCTAAACATAACCATGAAATTATAGATCTATGGTTAGAGATTCATATATGAAAAATAAGCATATGTATATGCATTCACATTTATGTACATAGTATATGACATGGATGCCAACATTTTCTCAGATGCCAAATGGAAACAAGATTACAAACACGTGCTTACATAAGCTTGCATCTCCTCGATAAACATATGCTTATGAAGATAAACAAAAACAAAAAATACAGGGCTTTATTTTTTTAATGAGATGAAATGCTTATGCCTAAGGGACACATTTAAATCTCTTTTTAAAGGTTTGTTCTGCTGCGCTCCCTTTCCACCACTCAATTTTATTTGCAGGATCTGGGGGGGGGGGGGTGAGTAAAGTTTATAAAACGGCACATGATTTCTAAGGCCATTGTTGTGAGGGAAAAGATAGCACTTGCCCCTGCTTGTTAGCACTGAGAAATCATTAAGCAATACAGTGAGAAAAGACAAGCAGCGAGCTGGTGTTCCATACTAACTTAATCCGTCACAACATAGAATCATAATAGGTGCACACACTGGACTATGCATACGTGAAGAGCAGGTACATCTGCAGGTATAACAAGAGGGATTGTTCACTGCTGCAGGAGGGCCAAAGGCAGCAGGAGAGAATCATTTACAAATTAGCTCTTCCTCACACTAAGATCGTTGACAGCACAAAACCCCAAAATGATTTGTTTGGAAATGGCCAAATTATTAGAAAATATATAAGAATAAAATCTACATATATTCATCGATTGATGTACCAAGACATTCATCAGAAATTTGAAGTGAGATTTCTCTTAGTTTTACTTTAGGGTCAAAAATATAACATAACGCCTTGGTGTTTCTGGCACCTCCCACCCAATTTTCATTTGCCTCAATGGACATGTACTTTAGGCCTAGACTGGGTTCTTTTAACAAAATGGTGTGAAGCAATGCTGTTTTCCTAGATAAAATACTGGTCTAAATCACAGATTTCTGATTTAAGCTCACTAATTTCGGGATACATCTTCCCAAATTCTGTCAACCAATGAGGTTATCTTTACAAAGTGACTTTTATTTTAATGGGGCATGGGCTCCTCACACTCACAGGGAGCATTTAGTACCCTGGCCAGCTACTTCACATTGTATAAATTCAAGAGTCCCAGCTGGGGAATCACACTCTTGATGCGATTACTGCGACTTTCTCAGTGAGGCTTGCAAGGAATCATTATCCTGAGTGACAGGAAAGCCAGATTCCCCTGGAAGAGAAGGGGGCAGGGAAGTAAAGAATAGAATTGAGTGGATCAGCATTGTTTAAGGCAGCCTTCACAGCTCATGCAGGTGCAAACCCTGACAAACAGCAGCCCTGTTCCCAGGGGCCGGTGGAGAAACCTGCACCTCCAGTTCTCCTGCCCATTCTGCGTAAAGCAAGATGTCGCAGAGAATTTCTCTCTCCACAAACCAGACATCAAACGGCCGTCACACTTAAAGGAATGCCTTCTACTTCTGTCCTAAAGCAAAGGGGTTCCTTGAATGAGAGCATGGCCGAATCTAAGCACACATACATTTTTGATGGACTCCTAAAAAAACAAATACAAATATTATTTAAACGGATCTGAGATGCCTTTCTCAGTTTCATCTTCATTAAATCAGCAATGAACATATCATTATGAAATCAAAAATAGATCAGAATTCCCAAAGCTGCTATCTTAAGAATCAATATTTGAGCTGCTCTCCTTTTGGTACCAAAGAAGCAGCCACTCAGTGAATGGCAGTATTTCCAGATGGAGCACACTCCGACATATTGCTTCTAAAAAGATGTCAAATCTAGCGGAAGCTCACCTCCTAAAAACTCAAGACGGTATATATGTGTGTGTGTATGTATATGTGTATATACATATACACACGCACACGGGAATGTGCATTCATATTTAGATATAATATGGAAAATGGGGTACTATAACATTAAACTTAAAACTAATGAGTTTTAGACAGCAGACTTGAGTTTTCAAGGAGGTAGAGATAACTCTATTCTGGCCTTTACTTTAAAATTTTACTAAAAAAATAAAATTAAGAAAATTGAGATAATTATAACATTGAAATTACAGGACTATTATTAAATATATATTTACAATATTTTATATATTTTCTAATTTCACTAATTCTTCTAGGCCTTCATATTTCAACTGTAAAACCAGGATGGCTCTAAGGCCATGATTTCCAAGCTACGATCAGTAGTCTGAGGTGCCATTTTCCTTACTTAATAAAAAGTTCTCCTTTTATTAATATTAACTTAAGAAGCACAAGTCACACAAACCTCTTCTGATTCACATTCGGTGGTGTGAGGTACACTTTAACCACTGAAACTGAAGCAGTTTCAGTGCCAAAGCACCCTCTTGTAAAATCTACTCTAAGGCTGTTACCTCTGTGAAAATCTCACACCTGGATCTAGGGATCCTGGGCAGGCAGCGCGGGCCTGGGCATTGGGACCTCTCGCTGCAGAAAGCCACGAA